TATTTTATAAAATAAAATTTTAATGCTGATATTTTTTCTCCATTATTTTTATGTGTTCTCTCCAATTTAATCTATGATCTAATATTACTCCAAGATACTTGACACTTTCTGACTTTTGTATAATTGAATTATTATCTGTATCCTTTTTAATAGATAAATGTTTGCAAGTGCAATTCTCATAAATTATTGGCTTATTTAAAATTATTCGACCAGTTTTTCAGAGAAATTCTCATGAAGACCATTTTCTTTACATTTGAACATAATAAATTTTCATTAAACCACCTCCTTATGAATTTTAAATCGTTGTTAATTTTTAATGAGCTCATTATCAGAATTTCCATTATAAATTAATACCGAGTCATCTCCAAAACTTCTTATTTCTCCATTAAACCTACTTTCACAGAAATCATTTAAATATATTAAAAATATTAATGGTACTAATATTGATCCCTGAGGTACTCCAGCGGTTAAATTCATTTAATCACTTATTACATTATTTATTTTAACTACTTGTTTTCTATTTGATATATATTATTTAAACCATTTTAAAACAATACCTCTCATTCCTATTTTATAAAGATTTTTTTGTTAAAGTTCTTGCGAAATCGTATCAAAAGCTTTTGATATATCTAGAAAATAAGAATATGTTATTTTATCATCATTAATCGATTGGTTTAATTTATTAATCATTATAATAAGTGCATCTTCTGTTTCCATAATTTCACGTGATCCAAATTAACAATTTGAGAAAAAAACGTATTGAATCTAAAAATGTTTATATTATTTCTTTAACAATCTTCTCGAGAATCTTTGACCTAACTGATAATAAAACAATTGGCCTGTAATTATTAAAATCATCTTTATTTCCTCCTTTTAATTTTGGTATAATGACAGCATTTTTGTTAAATATTTGAGAAACTCCTTTTTTCATCGACATATTAACTAAATAAGTTATTACTAGTATCAATTTTCCCATATTATTTTAAATAATTGCTGTTGTAACTTTATCTTTTCCTGCAGCTTTTCTATTTTTTAAAGAGTTTATAGTTTTTTATTTCATGTTCATCAACTGGTATAAAACACATTGAATTAGTAGATACATTAGTTTTATACCTTGTTTGGTCTAATTGGTCTGTATTAAAACAGTTACAATAATTTGATTTATAAGTTCCTTTGCAATATTTATAAAAAATAATTAAGTGAATGTATATATACTCGTAATTTGAATTGTTCAGAAAACTTAATTTGCTTATTCTTCACTGTAATGTTTTCAAAATATGGTTTATAACCCATTTTAAAGTGTTTGTTCGGGTCGGCTTCTTCGTGTTTTGTCAAATTCACAAAATGTTTCTGTTCTGACTTAAAGCAGTCCATTGGAAACTTTCCGTATTTTAGGGTTGAACTTTACAGTTGTTGCTTAATGATAAAGTCTGTTCGTTTTGACTACTAATTGCAATTTTGAGCCTTTCTTTTCAGATTTGTGCTTCTCAGTCAGAAAGTGTGTCCGTTAGCTATCAACAACCGCTTGTTATAGCGTATCACTGAAAGAGTTAATAAGCTATTCAGCCTCCTCTTAGACAAAATAATGAATATTGCTTCTAATTAACGTAGAAAATCGTACCAAATTTCATTAAAGCTTTATTTATTTTAAAGTGTTAATTGTGAGAAACTCTAGATTATACAGCTGTATAGAACCTTGATTATCCAGGTAAAACTAAATTTAATTTTAACCGACATACAGTCCTATTCCATTCCTAACGATATTTATAACATTTATAGATGTGCTTAAAGTTTTAACTAATTATCAAGTTGAGAATTGTGATTATATATATATTTAGTTTATGTATTTAGTTGTTGTTTTTTTTTGAGGTAAGATAAAGAAATTGGTAATTGAAACTGTGGTTACAGAAAATATTAGAAGTTGAGTTCAATTTATTCACAGACGATGTGGGCGTGGTAACGAAAAGATATGATCTGTCGATAAACAGACTTAATCAGACTTGTGGCGCCTTTTATCTATTTAGGAAGCTGTTGTATGGTTAGTAGGTGTAAAGTAGGCAAAATTACCAATTCGTGAATACGTTGCTATAACATGAAATAAATGTGTGTAGTTACGCCCCAGAAAGAATTAAACTAGTTAGTACTCGAATCGAGAATGGAAGCTGTGCAAGCTAGTGATATAGAGGAGTTAACAATAACTTAAACTTAACACTAGCCAACCTCACCCCAAGTCCACATTCCACGGTTTTCCCATACCAGCCTTGGAACAAATGTCACCTGCAGAACTTGATCGTCGACCTGTTGGGTTAACATGTACATCACTTACATCCCTCATTGTGTCATTCAGGTGAAGCATTGCATACTGTACAACTATATGCTCTACAAATTGTAATATTCCAGTCAAAGAATGGGCATTGTTCAATGGTTAATTATTAAATTAAAAAAACATTGAAAGCATGTACATTTTAAAACAGAAGATGCCCACGAGACAATGAAGAAATAGAGTTATTAACATAATCAAAAAGAACACACAATTCCCAAAAATAGCAATGGTTCAAAAGCAGTGCAATGAATACAAATAACATAATAGTTATAAAACATTTATACACACGATGAACATTTTGAAGAAAAAAAAAACTAAGGTGTAATATGATTAAGAAATAGTGTGAATTAACAATATAAAATATTCCTATAATGAACAATAGTTCACAATTTTAAACATTTAGAGACTTGTGAAATCAGGAATAGCAATATAATGTCTTTTAGCAACAAGAAGACCACTTGTGAAATTTGTAAAAAGTAATTGATGAGTTGTTTTTTAGCGCAATAAGCTATCCGCGCTCTTTCCACCGCGGGCAATTGAACTGTAGATTTTAGCAATGAAGTCCGAAACCTAGCACTTCCCACCGATGGACGCTGTTTATCAAAATAATTACGAGAATGATAGCTGGAGCTTCAGGGGTTTATGTTTATCTGCATATACACCATAGTATAGATACAATGAGTGTAAATAAACAACTTTGTATTTTCACGAAATGAAGTAAGTCTTAAAATACGGAAGTCATAATTACCATTTTATATACATATATATCAATAATACAGAAACTTATGCAGTATATATCACAATATGTATAAATATTAACATTTTTGGTTCACTAACAATACCTGCAACTTGCGATACTCATTGAGGGTTTTAACGAGTAAATTTTAACGTATTTCTGCTTAAGAACAAATTTTTACTTGTAATATACTTTGTAGTTCAATTGTAGTACATCATGAAGTGGGGTTTAATTTCTAAAACCATAACATAGTACAAATGAACTTGACATGTTTATTTAAATTTTTTTATCCATTACAGCACATATATACTTCAAGAAAATTGACATTTAGTTATTATCATGAACAACACTTGTAATTACGTCTTCTTAGTTGGCTGTTTTATGTAACAATTGACAATGTAACAATTTTATGTAACAATTGACATTTAGTTATTATCATGAACAACACTTGTAATTACGTCTTCTTAGTTGGCTGTTTTATGTAACAATTGACAATGTAACAATTTTATGTAACAATTGACATTTAGTTATTATCATGAACAACACTTGTAATTACGTCTTCTTAGTTGGCTGTTTTAGTAACAATTGACAATGTAACAATTT